CGAGTGAATGGTCTATAGCTTATCAGAGGCTCTGACGCCTCTCGTGGGGTCAGCGAATCGCTCCCTCAGGAGTTTGAGGAACTGGGGAAGTGAGGTGGTCTTTGAGTAAGCAACCATGTTGTTTTCACAACCGGTTGCGCGCGCAAGGGACCTAGCAAAACTGGCTGCTTCATCTTTCAAGGCCTGGAAGGCTACGAGGACCTGCTCCTCAGACAGGATGTGCTGTAAGTATACGTAGCTATTGACACTAGCCTCCCAGTTATCAAAATTCTCCTCCTTCTTTCCGCCGTACGCATCAGGAAATTTGATCTTTACTGGGTCCTTACGGGGACGTGCTTCGGCTTCGGCTGCAACCACTACTTTGGCGCCCTCAATGGCGCCAGCACATAATTGTTGTGTGCTTTCCTTCATCTTCTTGACCTCGGTCCCGACGTGGGTCACCACGTCGCGCGTGAACTCTCTAAACCCAGATCGGATGGCGTGCCGGGTCACATCTTGACCCCTGACGGCCTGATGTTCCTCTGTCCAGGCCTTGCTCAGAACTTCTAGGTACCCCAGGATCTTGTCTAACTTGGCAAGGACCTCGGCTTGTGCCTGCACTTCCTGTCTACAAGCTTGGATCTTCTCAACTTCTCTCGCCACCCGATTGGCCTCCTCTCTCCTCCTCTTCTTCTCCCTCATCATCCTCAACTTCCATTCCAGCTTCTTCTCATCCTCTGTTGTTTGGCGTTCCAGGGGATCTTCTATCTTCTCCAACTCCCTGGCAAACGGTTCCTTCTCCTCTTGCGGCACATATATTTGTGCCTCCTCATCCTCCCCTAGCGATAAATTAGCCACCCACTCTGTTATCTTCTTTTCCATCCACGCAACTTCCCCTGTCGTGCCACTTGTCTCCCCTCTCTCCTCTCCACGTCTCCTTTCAAGGAGCTCTTCTTCTTCTTCTTCCTCTTCCCCTGCTGCTGCTTCCTCTTCTGCAGCCTTCCTCCTCTCTTCTTCCTCTCTCTCTAGCATCATCATCTTCTCCTTGTGAAACCTCGACATCTCCTCCTCCAATCTCTTCTTCTCTGCCTGCTCCTCCGCGATAGCCTTTAGCTTTGCCTGTTTTAAGAGCTCCCTTCTTCTCTTTTCTCTCTCTCAAAAGGGCGGCAATCCGGGCCTGCTCGGCCTCGGAGGGGGCAGTACTCTTCCCACTACGGGTGTCAACCATGGTGATTGGTGCACAACCAAACAACGGTTCCACTCCTCACCACTTAGACTCTACTCCCCCTGACTGACACACTGACTGACTCAATCTAAGACTTACAGAACCCAGACAGGATCCTCTCAACTATGGTCTCTAGCCTAGACCTACTCCACGGCTGTCACTACTAGACCTGTTGCTGATCAGGAGGCATTTAAGGAGATCCCCCGTAACTCCTCAGGAATTCTTTAGCGTCGTAAACAGGACGACGCGATCAGCAGGTCTCTCAATACTTAGACTGGCTGTTGTACAACCCACAACTCAGCCTTTCGGGCCTACCGTGCCACAGCGAGCAGCCCGCCGGTCTGTACCGGTCCTTGGGAGGGTTCGTGTCCTCCGGGACAGTCGAGTCGTCAGACACTGTCTTTAGCCCTACTTAGTCCGGCAGGGGTTTGGTCAACAAGGCCCTATCCTTCATCCACAGAGTTCCTACACCTAGACGGAAGCGACTCAATGCAGAAAGAAAAGACAGACAGACTTGACTTCAGCAAGTACCACAGGGTGTGTGCACATCCATAGGGCGAGGGATAGGCTGAAGGCTTGGCGAGAATATACCGGCTCTAGCTTGGTCAACTTCGTGGTCAACGATCTTGGTCAACGCCTTGGTCAACGCTCGGTCAACGTTGCAGGCAACCCTTGGTCAACCCCGGTCAACACCTGGTCAACACCTTTGGTCAACTCTCGGTCAACCCCGGTCAACGCCCGGTCAACGCCTGGTCAACTCCTCCGGTCGGCTATGGCTGCCGGCTTCACCTTCCTCGCCACCCTTCTCTTTCTTGTCTCCTTCCTCGCCGATTTCTTCTTCACCCTAGCTGTCTTCTTTCTCTTTTTTTTTTTTTTTTTTTGATCGCCTCTCTCCTCTCCTCCTCGGCTATGGCTTCTCTCTCCCTTCTCAGTCTCCTCCTCCGTCCCCTCTCTCTCCCTCTTCGTTACTCCGTGGGCGGGCTCCGCGGCTATGGCCGCCTCTTACTTCGTGGAGCTGCACGACACACTTCACAGGTAAGTGACAACCAAACTTGTATCGCTCATCTCTCTCTCTCTCTCTCTCTTGGCGTAGCGATGTCTTCAATGCAGGTACGTAGTAAGCCAATCTTGTATCGCTCAACCTCTCTCTCTCTCTCTCTCTCTCTCTCTCTCTCTCTCTCTCTCTCTCTCTCTCTCTCTCTTTTGGCGTAGC